AAACTTTTCTGTTAAAAGCATTTCTGGAAAATCATGCCAATCTAAACGCAGCCTATCTGTTTGTTTTTAATGTGGTTGTCAAGAATACTTCCCAAAGTGTCCTGGTCATTAAAGTGACAGCGGTATCTAGAAAGGATGGTGGATATGAAAACCTTCACATGGCTCCAATATGGACAGAAACCTGCGGGTTAAGAACGTTGCTCACATCAGTGAATTAAGTATCATAATACACTTGGGGCATGTCTAGACTACATGGCTTCGTTGACAGAGCCATGTAGATTTGTTTATTGGGCAAAGGGAAATGAAGCGGCGATTTAAACAATCGCGGCTTCATTTAAATTTAAATGGCTGCCACGCTGAGCCGACAAACAGCTGAAGCACTGTAGTCTGGACGCTCCGCAGTCGACATCAAAGCCCTTTGTCGACCGCCCCGGTAAACCTCATCCCACGAGGAATAACGGGGCGGTCAACAAAGGGCTTTGATGTCAACCGCAGAGCGTCCAGACTAGCGCGCTGAGTCAACAAACAGCTGATCAGCTGTTTGTCAGCTCAGCGCGGCAGCCATTTAAATGAAGCGGCGATTATATAAATCGCCGCTTCATTTCCCTTTGCCTACAACCCTAATCTACATGGCTCCGTCGATGGAGCCATGTAGTCTACACACAGTCTTGGGGGCTAGGGATGTAAAATGTTGATTAATTGGCAAATTGAACAGTGAGTGCAATTTGAATTGACTAATTGATTAGTCAATAAAGGCGCATCTGCCTTTGAAGTGTATCAAAGGTGAAAGCGCTGTGGGGAGAATGAGGCCAGCTGGGGATTCAAGGGGGACTCCAGCTGACCCCGGGCTCCATGCGGCACTGCCACTTTGAAACACCCTCTCCTCTGCCTCTCCCCTTGCTGCCTCTGTCTGATAGAGGCAGCAAGGGGGGCAAGTGACTAGTCGACTAACGCGTCAACTAGTTGTTCACATCCCTACTGGGGGCAGTGAGACTTTAACACCCTCCCCCTTTTACAGGGGAAGAAGCTGAGCGATACCGAGAAGAGATGAGAATCCAGCTCTCCAGACTCCCAGTCTTGTATAGAAATAGAGCTGGGCAAAAAGTTTCAGAGAGTTTATTCACCAAAAAATACAGTGAAGTTAACCTGCAAACTCAGATCGAATTCAGTGAATATTTTCAGTCCAAAATGGATATTTCCTCCCCCCCCACACAAAAAAAACCCCTGTCTGCATGTTTTTTTAGTTTTGACATTTACAAAATGTGACGTTTCTTTCAGACCATTTTAAATTCAGCTCAGTTTATTTTTAAATAGGGTAAAAGACACCTGAAAATCAAACAAAATGAAAAAAAAAAACTGTTTTTTTCCCAGGGTGACCCAAAATGACTATTCTTTCGAGATTTTTTCAGGTTGGTCACTGAATCAAAAAATCAACAATTCACTCTGCCCTCTCTATAAACAACCCTAATTTCCTCCCTTTTTGCATGTAGATCTTTCTGTCATTTTATCATAGTTTAAAAGATGAGAACATGAAAATCAGCATGCAAAGTAACCTGACAGAGCGAGCCAGGGTACTGGTCTGAACCCACTTAGGGAAATAACCAATTTGACTTGAGAGTTGTGAACATGACAGGTCAAGTGCCCAGTCTCTGATTTCTTGCTGTGTCTCTATTAAAACCACCCTGCTCCTCCACTGCATCATGAGGGCAATGTAGTCTGTTCAGTACCCCTCTGAGTTTGCTGCCGGAAGATGACGGCCATCGTTGGTTTTGTATTTTGTCCTGAAGGTGTTTGGGATCACTGTCCTCTTTGGCTCTTGTGTCATCCAGGTATGATAGTCTGAAGAGAGTCTGGCTGGTCAGTTAGTTATAAGGCATACCTCGCATGCCACTGTCTGACCAGAATGAACTTTACAGTGTAACGCAGCAGGCAGTGGTGAGATACGCTGCAGGTGTGAGTTCGCCATTCATCTATCCAGCTCCCCTCCTAGAGAAGTAGGAAACTGAGGAATGCCTCCTTCCCTTCCACGTAGGCTATGTCCAGACTGCAGGCTTCTTTCGGAAGAAGTTTTTTCAGAAGAGAGTGTCCACACTGAATGGACGCTCTCTCGCATTTAAGCTGTGATTGCTATGGACGGAATGGCCACCAGGGCACCTGTGCTTTTTCTTCTTTCCTCTTCTTGCGAAAGAACTCCCTCTTCCCTGTCCCCACACACCGTTTTCCGAAAGAGCTCTAGCTGAAAAAGGCTTCTTCCTCATAGAATGAGGTTTACCAATGTCAGAAAAACCCCTGAGTTCTTTCCATTTTCCCCCCCAAAGAACGCGATTGCAGTGTGGACTTAAGTGAAGTTTTTTTTCTGGAAAAACAGCTGTTTTTCCGAAAAAACTCTGTGGTGTAGACATACCCGTAGTATGTTGCTGAGTGGCTGTAGGCCCCAGACTGAAAGTGGAGTCCCTTCTGCTCCTTTCCCTCTACTCTGCCACAGCAGGTCATTAACACGCGTGTGTCTCCAGAAACTCTCTGGCTGTGTCTAGACTGGCCAGTTTTTCCGGAAAATCAGCCGCTTTTCCGGAAAACCTGGCCAGCTGTCTACACTGGCCGCTTGAATTTCCACAAAAGCACTGACTTCCTACTGTAAGAAATCAGTGCTTTTTGCGGAAATACTATGCTGCTCCCGTTCGGGCAAAAGTCCCTTTTGTGCAAAACTTTTGCGCAAAAGGGCCAGTGTAGACAGCTCAGATTTGTTTTCCGCAAAAAAGCCCCGGTCGTGAAAATGGCGATTCGGGCTTTTTTGCGGAAAAGCGTCCATGGCCAATCTAGACGCGCTTTTCCGCAAAAAGTGCTTTTGTGGAAAAGTGTCCGTGCCAATCTAGACGCTCTTTTCCGAAAATGCTTTTAATAGAAAACTTTTCCGTTAAAAGCATTTCCGGAAAATCATGCCAGTCTAGACATAGCCACCGGTATTAGCAATGCGGCTGCTGCACAAACAACTAGAAAATTACAAAGAGATGCTATAAACATGCTGCGCTACAGGAGGGGCAGTAATATTGCCCGACCTGATTCTGTCCCCTTTACCCACGTGAGCAGTCTTTTCTGCATACTACAGTCAAAGGCAGTGTTCAGTGGGATCAGGCCTGGCCATAGATTTGGCCGTTTGGCTTCCTTTACAATACATGAGGGAATTGACCGTATGCCTGGCGATTTCTGTGCAGAGACTTGCTGGTCCGTGGTGGCTCTAGGCCCTGTGACAAGTTATGAAAACACAGCTCAGACCCGGGGTTCCATTAGGCGTTCTAGCAAAGGGAGAGTTCTGTCCTCTTCCCAAGGAACCTCCTGGAAAAAGGGCCCAAATCTTTGACTCAAACTGGGCTCCCTTTCCCCCCCCCCCCAGATTTCAAGGCCATCTGTCCAATACGCAGGTTCCCTGGGTGGTGGCTAGGAGAGAGGCCTGGGTGGTGGCTAGGAGAGAGCTGAAGGTCTTGTCTAGATCCCATTGGATTTCCTGTGAGATTCCCCAGGATGCTCATTCCAGCACCAACGTCTACAAACCCAGCAGGGCCACCGTGATTCCCTTGCAAGGACTCCTCCCCGCCATCAAGGCCTGCTGTGGGGTCTGCACGGAGGGGAGGGAGACGGTTCCCTCTCCACCCGCAATTCCACCCACCCACAAGGGAATATGCCAGACTTGGAACCTATGGGGATAAAGAGGGAGCTGTTGACTGCTTCTGAGTCTGCGTGAGGGGTGACGTGGGGCAGAATAGGATACAAGTGGCTCCCAAGAGAGAACAGACGGGGGATATAGAGGTGACCCTTCAGTCCCTGTCCTGTTCAGCATCCCTGGCCTTTGAGGGGGAGCTGAAGTACTCTTGCTGCAACCTCTCTGGGGCTGGAAGGAAGTGAGGGAGGGAGGAGAAGAGGCTGCCCCCAGAGATGTGCCCCCCCCCATGCATGGGAGCGGGATAAAAGACCCAGGCGAAAGTAGAAGTAGAGCAAGTAGCAGCTACCCAAGCAAAACTGGGCTCTTCCTAGCGGTGTGTAGGAGGAGTGGTCATTCAGGTAAGCCCCCTTTAACAATGAAAGGAAGATGCAGATGCCGATTGCTCCCCCGGGTAACAGTTATTTACCCTGGGCTCGATAGTAAATACAAGTCATTTTATTACTTCCAAGACAGGGAAGATTCCCACCCCCCTCCGGAGGTCATTCAGCAAGCTGAAATTAATACAAAATTTGCCTGCGGTTTACAGTGGACCAAGAAATGTCAATTGAGCACAAACTTGCATGATCCCTCTGCCCCCCGCCAAAGTCTTGGACACATGGTGGGCATGAAAGCCAGACGGGCGAGACAGTGACTGTCAGTGCTGTTTGTGGTATAATGCGTGTCTCCACCCAGCTCCGTGTTGAATAATTAGCGGATTGTTTTATGTTATATTAAGCAATGCAGGTGATTGCTCTCAATTTTAAATGGCAGGACATTTGATTTTATGAATAACTTGGGAGGTGCTGATTTTCGACTTGCATAACGTCCCTGGTTTTGTTGTTCGTGAAATGAAATACTACGCGCAATTAAACGATGCCAACGTATTTCATGGCTCTTTAATGCACTGAGAAGATGGGGTCAAATCATTAACGTTAGCTAAGCAGCAATGCTCGAGGTGAGCCGTGAGAGGAGAAGGGGGCATATCTTGCGTGCCGCCCCGAACAGCTAGTTGCACCCAGAGTAAGCTACAGTTCTGTAACAAGAGGTGCGTTCCCCAGGCAGTTTCATGAGGAGTTGTGGAGGACACCGGCCAGTGCCAGAAAGTTACAAAAACATTTCTCTCTTAACCTTGTCTTCTCTTGCTCATAACCTAGTGAAAGACTTGCCGAGCTCGGGCCAGTTTGCACACTTGCGTATGCACGGCTGTCTAATCGACCGGTCTCTCCGCTGTTGCGACCTGGGACTTACTTCGCTTTTAAGGACAGACGCATTTTGATGCCTCCCCAGGGTGACAGGGCCCCCTTTAAACATCAGTTTGTCGGGAGATTTGGGCCTTTTGTGGCACTTTCCCCCTGTTACTCAGGCTGTCTGCCCAGGGCATGGACAGTCTCTCTCTGCCCACCGGCTGATGCTGGGTTGCCTGACTCACATCCAGCGGGGGCTTGTGGTAGTACCATGATTTCAAGAGCTTGTTCATCTGCTCCCGGTCTGTGATTCCCCGCAGGTGATCTTCTTCCCCTTCTCCCGCCTCGGCCTCCCTTGGTGCGTTGAAACGCCGCAGTTGGATCTCCTTCTGCATGCTTTCGAAGAAGTGGAGGATGCACTTGTGGGCGAAATCCCGGGCGTGCTCGCAGCAGGTTTCCTCGAAGATCTTTTGCTCGATGTCGATGTAGTTGCTCCAGTAGCGTGTCTGCAGGAAAGCGGCCTGATTGAAGCAGGGTCTGAGCGCGCGGGCGAGGAAGGCTACCATGATCAGGATCAGGAGAATACTCCAGCCAAGGGCCTGGGCGATACGGAAAGAAGCAATGAGGCTGAGAGAGTGACTCCGACATTAGTATAATACACTTGCTGTTTGCCTGTATAGCCCTTTGCTCAAACTGAGGCTCTAAGCAGGAGTGAGGAGGTGGGAAGATGTCGGGGTTCAGGGTCTAGCCGAGGGCTGTCCACCCTCCAGGATTGTGCTGAAGTTTCCGGGAGTTAAAGATTAATCTTTAATGAAACATTATGTCATGTGATGAAACCTCCAGGAATACATCCTTGCAAAACTAGCAACCCAATCCTAGCTACAAAATCCAGCCAACTGCACCTTGATGAGTGTACGCTCCGTAGGAAAGTGGGGCTCTTCTTCTAGAGCCCTGTGAATGGCCTAATGGGGATAGGGCATTTTATCCACCCAGCTATAATCTACACAGGTAAGCACAACTGGAGTTCCCCATCAGGCTAGGACTGGAAAGGGGAGGCAGCAGGCCTAGGCCAGGTCTGACAGACCTTTGTCAAGCTTAGTCCATGCAGACCTGCTGTTGTGCCTGCCTTTTACCAGGGCTGCCAGGTGACCACTGGAATCCCATAAAGCACGGATGATGTTCAGTGCCCATATTGGGCTGTGTATGTGTGTGTTATTAATGGGATGGATGGAATCTCAGAGGAAAAATTAACGCCCCTGATTATCCCCTCTGATGTACATTTACTGCCCCCATTGGCTTCAGGGAGAGTTGCTTGCACAAAGCTGAAGGAATAGCAGGGCCCTAGGAATTCACAGAAATTAGAAGTCAGCTCCATCGTCAGTGAATTGTAACCCTGCAAGGAGCTCAAAACTAAACCAGCTGTAACTTCCTAAGAGAGAAACTGATTAACCCTTGTTTTTCCTCTAGTATCACTCCATCAAATCCCCAGCCTGGTGAGTGATCTGTGTATAGAGCAGGGAACGAACATGCAGAAATCCTTGGGGCCATCCCTGGCTCTGCCACATATCATTGTACAGACCTTGGGCAAGTCACTTCACCTCTCTGTATCTCTTTCCTCACAGGGAAGTTGTGAGATTTAAAGCTTGTGAAGCGTTTCAACCTCCTTGAGTGGAAAGGGCTTTAGAAGAAGAGCCTCTCACTATTTTTGGTATGAGCATCCTTATTTTTATTATGCATAATTCCAAATCACCATTGCCCCCCAGAATCCTGGGGCCAGCAGCTGACACAAAGCTTTTTCTAGTATCCTCCATAGGGGACTCCAGTAGAAATTACGATGAGGATGGTATCATTCTGAATGTCAGAAAAATGGAGCATAGTCCAGCTTTTAGTTTAGTCCTGTGGTTCTCAACTGGTGGTCCACGGTGACTTTTTCGGTGGTCCACAGGAACGTTGTCCAAAGTCACATGGCGTGAGCAGGCGCCGCCGTTAGGCTGTTTTACGCCATCTTCAAACCAAAATGTTCATTGTCTGCTCTTTTTTATCATGTCTCCAAAAGGAGGTGGTCCACGAAAATTTTTTGATTGGCCTGGTGGTCCGTGGACTGAAACGAGTTGAGAACCACTGGTTTAGTTGATGCCAAAATGCTCCCTGACTCCAGAAGGAATAGGAGCAGGCTCATGTGTCTTTGAGCTTTTCTACAGACCCAGGCTCCCAGAAAAGCCTCCGACTTACTTGTGACCAGCATCTCAGGTACCTGGAGATCGCCTTCCGGGCAGGGTGGTTCTTCATGAGCTCATCATCTTTGCAGGGCACTTTGGAGAGCAAGAGCTGCGTCTGGGCAGGGGTGGCGTTGGCAAACCCCACAAACTTTTCAGGGTCAATGGAGCTGCTGAAAGCACAGATGAAGCATTTCCCATCGAGGAGTGTGACGATGATCCAGATGATGGGAGCAATCATGGCTCGCTGCATGATGGAGGAGCACATGTACCTGTGGGGGGAGAGGGAAGTGTGAACAGGTGTCAGCCGGAGGACCCTGGAGACGAAGTCTGCCGCAGAAGGGGGTTGACACAGGCAGCAATCCTGTTGTCCAGGAAAGGGGGGGAGGGAGGGTGGAAGAAGGACACTGTTGCCCTGGGACCCAGTGATTCAAAGAAGCCCAGGGCTTCTGGTTGCTGCCTCAGCTACAGTAGCAGCGGCAGCAGCTAGGCACCCCGGGTCTTTTACATCTCTGTTGGCTGCCTGTGTCATTCCAAGCTGCGCTGTGGGCGGGGGTGGGGGAGCGTGGTGTGCTCCGGGCAGGGTGGAGGGATAGCTGCCCCAGCTCCGCCCCTTCCTCCCATGGCCCCGCCCCTGCTGGGAGTGTGGAGCCCAGCAACCCCTCCCCCCGGGCTTGTCCAGGGTCCTGCTGAGGCTGTTGGTGCCCCTTGCCAGGGAATACCATTTAGCCCAGCCGGGCTTTTGACAGCATTGTGACAGATCACGTCCTCTCTGGTCTTAAATCTCTGTGATGATGTTTTCTTACTTAGGAATCTATTGCACAGTCCAAATCTCTTCACACACTCACCAAAGTATTAAGCTCGTGCATGGGTGCTACGAGGATCTGGTTTTCAAAGTTTCCCCAAGAAGCAAACCAAAAGTGTGCCTGATTAAGGATTCTCTTGCATATGCCATGCCTGGTTCTCGGTCAGCTCCCTCTCTTCCCTTCCGTTCCCTCTCTCTACTCCCTTTCTTCCCCCCTCCCAATTCAGCCCATCTCCAAAATAACACCTCTGCTCTGTCAGCCTTTCCTTGCCTCCATCACCTCACCTCACCTCCCCACAACAAATTAGAGCAGTCCCTGTTGCCTTAGTCTATAAACATCACCTACATTTAAAAAAATAACAAAACATGCACAGTGTATCAAAATGATCCTACAGTTGTCTTGCTGTAATTTCCCTGAAGAGACGTCAGCATTGCCATTTTCTGTCGTGATGAGGGGGAAGAAAAATCATATTCAAACCCCGTCTGTGCTAAAAACGGCTGTTATTTGTCTATTATATATTAATGTGGTGACGCCCGTTGAGCTCCAATTGAGCGTGTAATGCCGTTGGACAGCTTTTAATTATTTATCCCTGGGGCACGCTTCACAAATTTTATTCAGTGTCATGGGCCTCATTCTCCTCTCTTTACACCAGTGTAAATCAGGAGTAACTCCACTGCACTCAGCAGAGATGCAATGGGGCACAAATATGGAGTAACTGATATCAGAATCTGATCTTTTGTGTCATTTTTCCCCTTTAAGCCAGGGAAGTAACGATGGAGGGCATTAGGGGCAGCCAGCAGAGAACTTTCTACACTGTGTAGTCTAAATTTTGCCTTCCTTAGCTTCAGGCCATGCCTGCTTGTGTTATAAATACATTAAGGATTGTAAAGTACTTTGAGCTCTACTGTTGAAAAGAGCTTTATAAGGTATTAGTATAGTTCTCTTTTTCTGGGACTCAGAATTATTCTCTTCCTTCATTCCTTCCACTCAAGGATCTGATAGAGGAGGTATCTGAGCCTTTAGCTATCATCTTAGAAAAATCATGGAAGTCAGGAGAGATTCCAGAAGACTGGAAAAGGGCAAATCTAGTGCCCATCTACAAAAGGGAAATAAGAACAGCCCAGGAAACTACAGACCAGTGAGTTTAACTTCTGTGCCAGGGAGGATAATGGAGCAAGTAATTAAGGAATTCATCTGTAAACATCTGGAAGAAAATAAGGTGATAGGTAACAGCCAGCAGGGATTTGTAAAGAACAAATCATGTCAAACCAATCTGATAGCTTTCTTTGATAGGTTAAAAAGTCTTGTGGATAAGGGAGAAGTGGTGGACGTGGTATACCTAGACTTTGGTAAGGCATTTGTTATGGTCTTGCATGATCTTATCAATAAACTAGGCAAATACAACTTAGATGGGGCTACTATAAAGTGGGTGCATAACTGGCTGGATAACTGCTCTCAGAGAGGAGTTATTAATAGCTCAGAGTCATGCTGGAAGGGCATAACAAGTGGGGTTCTGCAGGGGTCTGTTTTGAGACCGGTTCTGTTCCATATGTTCATCAGCTATTTAGATGATGGCATAGAGTGTACACTTATTAAGTTTGCAGAGGATGCCAAGCTGGGAGAGGTTGCAAGTGCTTTGGAGCATAGGGTCATAATTCAAAATGATCTGGACAAACTGGGGAAATGGTCTGAGGTAAATAGGATGAAGTTTAATAAGGACAAATGCAAAGTGCTCCACTTAGGAAGGAACAATCTGTTTCACACCTGCAGAATGGGAAGTGACTGTCTAGGAAGGAATACGGCAGAAAGGGATCTAGGGGTTATAGAGGACTACAAGCTAAATATGAGTCAACAGTGTGACACTGTTGCGAAAAAAGCAAACATGATTCTGGGCTGCATTAACAGGAGTGTTGTGAGCAAGACATGAGAAGTCATTCTTCCACTCTGCTCTACACAGATTAGGCCTCAATTAGTTCAGTTCTGGGCACCACATTTCAAGAAAGATGTGAAGAAATTGGAGAGGGTCCAGAGAAGAGCAACAAAAATGATTAAAGGTCTAGAGAACATGAGCAATGAGGGAAGGCTGAAAGCACTGGGCTTGTTTAGTTTGGAAAAGAGAAGACTGAGACAGGAAATGAGAGCAGTTTTCAGGTATCTAAAAGGGTGTCACAGGGAGGAGGGGGGGAAATTGTTCTCCTTGGCCTCTGAGGATAAGACAAGAAGCAATGGGCTTAAACTGCAGCAAGGGAGGTTTAGGTTGGACATTAGGAAAAAGTTCCTAACTATCAGGGTTGTTAAACACTGGAATAAATTGCCTAGAGAGGTTGTGGAATCTCCATCACTGGAGATATTTAAGAGCAGGTTAGACAGCTATTTGCCAGGGATGATCTAGACGGTGCTTGGTCCTGCCGTGAGGGCAGGGGACTGGACTTGATCTCTCAAGGTCCCTTCCAGTTCTAGTATTCAATGATTCTGTGGTTTGTATTGTGGTTACTTTGAAGGGCTTCATAGAATCGCTGTGCTATGGGACATGCATAATCTGTTGTAATCATTGTGAAGATCATTAATGAACAGCTGGCATTTAAAGCATTTAAGGGGGAACTTCTAAGGAGCTGAGTTTAGAAGAAAGGTAAGTGTTAGGGAGATAAGGTTGTAACAAGCAAGAGGGCTGGAAGAAAGGCAAAGGAGTCAAAATTGCTCACAAGGGGTGAACCCCTCACCTGATAATGGCCAGATCCTTCTTTCTGCCCCCAGTAGGTCTTTTCCACTCCTCCAGCATCACCAGCGACTGTCTGTTGAGAATGAGACCACAGAGAAAGAGGGCCATGGGAGGCAGAAACATGATCCCCAAACCATACACCATGTTGTACTTGGGCAGGCAGGGGCAGTTAAAGTCAAAGGAGGTGTACATCTTCACACTCGCGAGGGCTAGCAGCCCGCAGATCCCATTCATCACCGACTCAGAATTAGACTGGAAGTATTGGAAGATCATTCGGAACCGATCCATGGCCCTGTATTGGCTGGGGGCTGCTTCCCAAGGGGAAATTCCAAGTTAACTTCAGATTGATGAGGTGTTTGCTCAGGGCAGATGGTCACGTCTCAGTGACCCTTTTCTTGGGTTTTCTGGCTGTGTGCATTACATGCCTCTTGTTTCATTTCAGGGTAGAAAGGCTGCTTAATGCATTAGAGTGGGCAAAGAGACAGGAACGGGAGAGCAGTGCTGCTCACGGTGATGCATGAAACTGTCTCAATGGGACCAGATTCCTTTCTTGTTCCTGTTTCCCTTCCAGGGTAGAATTCTGCCTGACGGCTCCTGGACACAGTCTTTCCAATTCTGTCTGTAGTCCGACACTTCCCTTTCACAGACGGATGCAGGGGCTGGTTCTTTTATTTTTAAGCAGACGGATACAGCCTCAGTGTATTATTTTTTCTCCCCCTATTACATCCACAGGACTTTAAGAGATGCCACACAGAAGCAGCCTGCAAGTATGATACGATTCACAGTCCCAGGTCATGGAACATTAGCTTTGTCCTGTAGAAAGAGTTGTCTCCGGATGCCTAGGAGCCCGTACTGATGGTGTTTTGTTAAATGAGTCATCGCTAGTGATCAAACTAGCTATTCAAATGAGCTTATTTGTGTATACGCCTCCTTCCTGTTGGCTCCTGTGCAGTAGCTCTTAAACTGTCATCTAGTTGCTAGAGAACAGTGGGACTGGAGAGAAGGGTTCAAATCCCAGTTCTGCCAGGGACTTGCTCCGGGGCAAGTCATTTAATTTCTATACCCTGTAACGAGGCACAATCAACCTTCCCCACAGGGGCGTTGCGTCAATTGTTTTCAGATTCTTGGATGGAACTTTGACTGCAGGCATGTCATTTCAACCAGTGGTTTGACCACATGGCATGTGAGTGACAATGAGAGGCCCTGTAGTTTTCAATCTCCATCTGCAGCTCTGTGTTGTATTGTTACTGGTACGTTAATACATGCTGAGCAACGCTGTCTCCTTGCACTCCCTGTCTGTCTGTCTATATCACCTGCTGTCTCTTGTCTTCTACTCTGATTGTAAGTACTTTTGGAAAGGGACTATCTTTTCTTCTGTGTTTGTACAATACCTAGCAAAGTGTGGTCCATGGCTAGCTCTCCATGATGCTATGCTAAAGCTATCGACTAATACTACTGCAATATGTGCACAGATAGCAAACCGTAGTCATATATATACACTCACTACACATGGTCTCCGTCAAGCCTGGGAACCTTTGGCTTTGTCTGCACTGGGAAGGTTTGGTGGCAAAAGTGCTGTGGACGTGCGAAAGTCGCCAAAAGTGAAAACCGGTCAAGCCAGTTTTTCTGTCTCTCATTGGTGACATTTCATGGCCACGTTGCCAGTTCGCCTGTCAACAGATAGAGCAAAGCATTGTGGGTAAGCATCTCAGTGCAGTGCTGTAGGAAGGCAGAGCTGATCCCTGCACTTCTTGGGATTCCCACTGAGTTCTCCGCCAGCATTCTCAGCTGCTGGGAGTGGCATCATGAGTAGCTCTCTGAGCTCTCCATGTTAAGAAATGTCAAAGCAGCATGGCAGTCTCTCCAGCCCTCCCCCTGCAACAGCAGTCTGCCCGCCGCTGTGTTCCTAGTGCAGGGCAGAACAGATACATTCCAATTATTTGTCTGTTTGTTTCCCAAACTAAGCAGCTCACTCAGCTGTCGGATACTTCCTGGAGTTTTGACAGGAGAGAGAGGCGAATGCCTGCAGGGCAGCAGAGATCACAAAACACTGAGCACAGCCATCTGGGTAGGCATTGTGGGATACTGGTACCACATGCCCTTGACAGGGCAGGGGCAAGAGACTTCTCTAGGTACTGAGTAACCCTGGCAGGGCAGGGTGCAAAGACTTCATGTATTCCCCCACCTCTAGGCCTATCAGAGTCTGGAGGTGGGGGAGCATGCAGGCTGCCAGAGGGGCTGCACCTAAGTGGAACAGCCTCCTTCCTGCCCCTTTGGGGTGGCCTGTAACCACTTCCAAAATTCATAACATGGCCCCCCTTCAAAAATTATTGCCCACCCCTACCTAAACTCAAAACTCATCAAAGACTGAGAGGGGACATGAAAACAGTTTTCAAGTATCTAAAAGGGTGTTACAAGGAGGAGGGAGAAAAATCCTTCTCTTTGGACTCTTAGGATAGGACAAGAAGCAATGGGCTTAAATTGCAGCAAGGGAGGTTTAGGTTGGACATTAGGAAAAACTTCCTACTGTCTGGGTGGTTAAACACTGGAATAAGTTGCCTAGAAGGGTTGTGGAATCTTCATCACTGGAGATATTTTAGAGTAGGTTGGACAGACACCTGTCAGGGATGATCTAGATGATGCTTGGTTTTGCTGTGAGGGCAGGGGGCTGGACTCAATGACCTCTTGAGGTCCCTTCCAGTTCTATGATCTGTGATAATTTATACTGCAACTATCTGGATGTTCTCTGGGTATTGAAATCTTAATGCTTCTAGCAATAGTCGGACAGTGTGAACCAGGGAATGAATGGTTGTCTTTAATTTGAAAAAATCATTCTGTGATACAATACCAGAATCCCAACCCTTAGAAATGTAAAAGCACTAACAAGTTCTAGCCAGATAAACTTTCCTTGGAGTCAATGCATGATTAATGTACATTTTCTATTATTTTGTGTATCTCATTTAAAATATTTGAAGGGATGAAGATTCTATCTCTTCCCTTAAGATCGTTTTACAATCCAATAGGTCTCAGAAGCAAGTATGTTTTACTTCCTGATATTCAATTTAAATTTCCCTTTCCTGACCTTCATTCCAGACAGCTGAGGGTTCACCCTCCTTACCGCTCCCGCTTCTACAGGCATTCTAAACACTGCATTAAAACATTTGCTGGTTTTGCTGGGAAAGGAAAGCTCTGCCTTGCTAGCAAAACAACCAAAGCAAATCAAGCTGCAATCAGCAGAGGTACCAACCATTCCTCCTTCCCCGATGAAATCAACCCATTTCAGATTCTGAGTCAGCGGGCATGAGTCACCTGTTACAGGAAGTGAGTAGGAAGCTGCTTTGCTGGACTAATGTGTATGACATAAACCATTTAAAAAGAGGGGGAAGGAAGGGTGAGATGGCCCCACTATGTGTAGACGAGTTCGTGTGCGGTTTGGTGATGCCGAAGATTGAAATGCTGCCTCCCTTCTGCCAGGACAGCGAGTGCTGTTCCCTATTTGCATATCAACAGGCACAATTACTTTAATCGGAGATAGATGCGCACAGCCGTAATATTTATGTTTTCCTTTACCGGGGTATGGAAATTGCTGGTGAATTGCATTCACCAGCAATACAAACTCGTACGGGATGAGCACCATCCTCCTCTATGCTGCAGTTCTCGGGACATTTCTGAGGCACCCTCAGCCTCTCCTTCACTGAACCCTGCAGGTTGTGAGAGTTCTTGGTAGGCACCTGGGCTTGTCCCATCTTCAAAATAGTAGCTGGGATTGTAACGTGCATTTCTCTAACGTCCTGCATCTAACCATGTGACATCAGGTCCGCCGATGGGGTGGGGGTGGGGCAAAGGGACAGGTGCCCCGGAGCCCAGTGATTTAAAGAAGCCTGCAGCGGTGACCACTGCTGCAGCGCTCACATCCCCATGTCCTTTAAATCGCTGCTGGAGTGCGGTGCTCTGAGCAACTCGTAGGGCTGCTTTGGGAGGTGGGGCACAGTGTGGCGTTCTCCATGCAGCGCTGGGGGTGGGGGCCTGTGGTCTGGAGGGTGCTGAGGGCCAGCTGCCCACAGCCCCGCCCCTTCCCCTAAGGCCTCACCCCTTCTGGGAGCCTGGAATGCCTCCCCACCCTTGCCCACGGGCCCGGCGTGGCTGTCGGCTCCCCTGCGTGGATTATACGTTTTGAACTGCATGTAGAGCAGTCACGTTTGACAAATCACTGCATCCTGCTGTGAAATGCAGACACGTCTGGGGAAGAACAGAGGAACTCCTGACTAGTGTCCACCAACATGAAAAAAGAAAAATTAGGAACCACAGTGGCATGGATCCTGCATGCAATCCGAACTGCCACAGGTAGGCAGAATATAGTTGCTCAGACTGGAGGTTTGGCTAGGGGGCTAGGGCTCTTGGAAGGGGCGCTGTCTGATCTCTAATGTCTGCATCTGCTCAGCACCTCTGTGATGTAGTGTGGGTACCTTGCTGGTTGCTAGGCTTGGGCTGTGGGTGACCCCCACTGGCTGCTGTCTGTACCACGGCCCAGCCGAGTAGCTGATGGGACAGGGAGGTAACCTGTTCTACCAGTTACCCCCCAGGGAGAGGAACAGAGGAAGGTGGAATGCTGCCCCTGGCTGGGGGCAGGGCTGGAAGGGATGGTCTTGAGTTGCTGTCTGGGAAGCAGGGGAGAAGGAGCTAGGGAGGGGGCTGGGATTGTAGGGCCCAGCCACCCCCCATCTCAAGGGGGGGCACTGAGGCCTCCTAGCCCCAGTTCCTGTAACCAGATTATATCTGTGCTGTGCTGTATCCTGGAGGAGCAATAAACTCCCTCTATTCTACTGGCTGGTGGAGTCTGTTCGTGCCACTACAGGGGTGCAGGAGGCGGGGGACCACGACGCGCCACCACAACCTCTGTTTGACATCATAGGGCTACTTAGAGCTGGGAGAGGGTATTGGTGGTTTGTGACGAAAACGGAACATTTCGCAGTTTGTCACCAAAAAACGCGGGGGGGAGCTACCTCAGGATGAGTAAAATAGGTATGAAACGTGACTGAATGCTTAAACTCATTTTCAACATTAGGCAGAATTAGTTCATCCAACTCATCTTCGTGTCTAGTAAAAATGAGGGGAGGAAACCCACCTATCAAAAGAGCTGTTTAGATCTATGGGGAACTGATGAGTCCAGCCAATATGCACCTGGTAGTCCCTCCACTTTGTCCTTCATCATTGTTTCAATCATTTGGACTTTGTAGCTCTACAGAAAGTTGCCTGTGACTCATGCTGAGGGGAGCTATTTGATGTGGCAGAGCCGGATGTGGGGCGGAGGTCACTGTGCGTTACCTCCCACAAGCTACTGTTCCTTCCCCCACCTGTGTGTGTATATGCTGGGGTGATCGGACACTGTCTTTGATGCACTCCCAAACGGAATCAAGGCACCAGAAGTAGGAGGAAACAATTCTTTAATCATTCACGTGTTTAAAATGTCAGGCCTAGAACTTTTATCGGGGATAGGCGCGCGCGAGAGAACCCATGACACCCAAGCAGCAGGCTCTTTCGCCTTTGGGAGCAAGGCGGATCCCATAAAGCGAGACTTGGAGGGGAGCAAAATGACAAAACTTCTGCAAAATGGTGCAGGTTGCCTAGCTTTGCTTGTGACCTACCAACACTTGGCAGATTCCATCCGCGTGACAGCAGCCCGTGTGCATGCATACACACAGTTCCCAAGCCTCAGCCTAGTTAGTCCCAGTTTCCCCTTCATCTGAATTCCC